CCCCAAAACCCCAAAACCCCAAAACCCCAAAACCCCTTTCACAAACTCATGGCTGAAATAATATTTTATAAAAATGTCTGAATACACTATACTCGGCTTTTCCGAAATCACAATTCAAAATTTGGAAGAATTCACTCTTGAGGTAAAGAGAAGAGGTAGCCAAGAGATCAGTCAGCTTTCAGAAAGAGATCTTAGCCAGATTATCAACACCTTTAATGTCTTTAACAAAAGCTACGACGATGCAGACCTTTGGGATGTCTTAAAACAAGCTATTCTCTTGGTAAGTTCTCTTATGATCGCTTTTAGAAATATGAAGAGTATAACAAAGAGAATACTGAGCATTTAAGGCTCGACATTCTCTGTCTCCTCGCTAAAGGATTCTCATCCACGAAAACCCCTGATCCTGAAATGCAGTATTTTATTGAGAAAAATATCCAAAGGATCAAAACACTCAGAGCCGCTGATTCTAAGAACTTTATTGAGTGATGCCACGCTCTTGTGTGTAGTAAGAGCCCACCTGATAGGTTTAGGAAATTACAAGGCTTCAGAAAAATGAAAATTCTTCATGATTAGATTTTTAGTAAAAGCCCTTTCAAACCTTAAGGATGGAGACAAATTTGTAGAAGCGATGCAGTTCATTGGCACAATTGAATATCGTCACATTCAGCTTCATTTTAGGAAGATTAACGGGATCTGAATCTCTATTTTTACTGAGAACTTCTTCAAGTTCTCACCAGCATCACTCTTGGTTACACTTGATAATATGAAAAAGTTAGGAATCAGACATTCAGCTATCCATAAATGCTTGATGAATTATACAAAGAAAGTAGAGGGAATTATTGGGCAGTTATCTCTTGTCGAGCAGATTAGCTTCATACAGATCCTTAATTACTGCAATAAGCCAGAACTTGAGTATCTTTATACAGAAACTTTCTACTCGATTAGCAAGAATGTGAAATCAGAAGCTGCTTTCGCTGAAAACTCAAGCAGTAAGTTTATTCAATATAAAGTTTAGCCCATCAGATGAATATTCAAGAGCTAAAATTCTTGCTTAAAAGTCTTCTTGGCTGTGTTAAAATTGCTGATAAAAGTGCAACAATCAAGGCTGTTATAACTGATCAGCTGAGTAATCAAGAAGTCTTACCAAGACTACTCAAAATTCTTAAGAAGTTCCCTGCTGATTTCTTACAGAAGTAAGTATAATTAATTTGAGAAAGATATATTCCCTATTTTGTGGTAGCTATCTGACTAAACCCAAGGTTAAGAATCATTCTTTGCTCTAATTTGGGACTATTCATAACCCTTTATAGCGAGGAGCTGCCAGTGCCAACCATTACCGACTCATCTAAACGTATGAGAGTGTCTAATTCTTTAGTGTCAAACTACATCTATGCCCACCTCCACCTTGGCGCCAAAGATCTGGATCAAGGTAAGTTTTTGCAGGTTCTGAAGTTAACTCTGCACAGAAATTACTGAAGATATTTCTAATAAGCTACAAACCGTTCCTGACGAAGAGCTTCCACAGATATAAACTGGCTTCTCAGAGATTACCATAGGTAACAAATTTTAGTGAGCTTTAGTCACGCTATCTGGAAACAACTCAGACAGGTAATGGTAGACAGAGTCAGAAATCAAATGAAACAAGAGGTAGGACTCTATGAACATAGCTGAGGTTTCATGAACCATATGATATTAATTTTATTCATTTAGACAAAACAGAATGCTAGTTTGGTGAATTCTCTTGTCAAGATCGACCCAAGAGCCCTAAAGAAAGATTTCTTAACGGAAGTGAACCCATTTATTGTAAAGAATTTGAATCTTCTCACATTTGAGTCACTCTCGATGCTGAGAAGTAATATCATCAACTCCCAAAAAGTAGGACGTTTTTATCAAGCAAAGTCTTCAGATGAAGCAGGTAATGCTCATTCTAATAAAGTCTAGGCATCCAAACCTTGATTAGCACACTCGAGATGAGAATGATAGCTGTTGTGAACACCTACGGTCGTAGAAAGATGTCCTTGCGACACCTATATACTGGAAAGACACTTGCGAGAAAAGCTTTGATGCACTAAGATTCAATAAGCAGGCATTCAAACGGGGTTTTGGGGTTTTGGGGTTTTGGGGG